CCCGCAGTCACACAATCAAGTGGCAGCATGGAGGAGACCACGAAATTCGAGATACGTGTGGAGGATCCAGAGGAGAGTACAGTCAACACGATTGCGTCGAGCCACGGTGGCAGCAGCGGCAGCGGCAGCACCAGCTCGAACTCAGATGAACGCGCCTTAGAGCTACTCAAGTCATTATACTCGTTGGCCTCAAAGTTCACAAGCAGACGATAAGACCAGCGATGGCTACACCGTCCGATCGAATACTTCGCAATAGCTAACTACTTTATCCCTGCAATTTCTTTGGTTTTTTATTTTAATTTGTACCCAGTTATTTACTTTTATGATTTTTTATTTAACTTAATTTTATTATTTGCTACTCTTAATTTTAGTTAATATTTTTATCCAAGTAATTAATACGAGTATTTGCTTTTCGAAATCGTTTGGTATAAAAACCAATGTGAAATTATTATTTTAATATTTAATTCTTTAAAACATTTACTTGTAAATAATATTAAGTTGTAATTGCCGGATGAACGAGTATTTAGCTCAAGTGCCTATGTGTGCGATTCCATTTGTATTGGGGATAATACTCAAACCGCTTATTGTAGTGTATCTGGTATGCGAAAGCACTATATTTTTTATGGCAAACTCTGAGAGAGCACAATTGAATGGTTTTCTCATTAAATGCTTTTTATGAACTCTTTACTTTATTTATGATTTATTTCTAAAAAGTGACTTATTCTTTTTGTCGCCAATGTAAATATGTATTACTTGTTAGAGACACGTTTTATTCTGCCACACTGTAATATTATTTTTTGTACATTAATTCCAACAATTTATGCAATGAACGAATAAATAAATAAAAATAAGATAAATAAATAAGGTACGTTTTTTTAAATATACATATGAGTATGTGAGTAAAAGCTGTTTTGTAAAAGAATAAAATTTTTATTACCACAACCACGACGACGCCTTATGCACCATGTCGATGCAATTTCTATAATTTTTCCCAACACCAATAACAAGTCGAATAATTTCGCTTATTTACGCACCTGTTGCATCAACGCTTAAGATGACTTTTGCTGATAAATGGCACATATATTTTTTTTACATGAACTTCGAGTTACTTCGAAAAACTATGTTATATTGCAATATTACTTGCTGGATATTGTACCAGGTACACAGATTCCATCCCAACATACTCATACTCAAAAAACACCTTGCATTCAAAAGATAAGTTCGGGTGTAACCGAACAGTTTGCATTCTCGCAATTTGTAAACATCAAATCCGGAGAATTTTAGACTGTAAATTTCATTTATGCTAAACCATTAAAAATATATGGTTAAGAAAGCATGTCCATGATGTGGTCACGCACATTTTCCAAAATTTGTTTACAGACGTGAAGAAAAGCTAGAAAGGAATGTTGCAATTATATTCGATTGTTACAGCTTAAATAGTTTATGAGATATACAAAATTAAGCCCATTAGCAAGCGACGCGACGCCCACTTGAAAAAATTAAACCCCAAATCTCTCTCTCTCCAGTAATCTCCTCTACCGAATTTAATTTTTTTAGCTTAATTTTTGATTCACTTCCAAGATATTAAAATAACAATTGTCCGATTTTATCCATCTGCAAACACAATCTTCTCAAAGTTCCAAGGAATATACAAGTTGGTTGAAAATTGAGTAATAAATAATAAAGAAATACTTGTAGCACTACTAGCTCCAACATTTTTTTTTTCTCAATTTGGTACATCTGTCGTGAAAACATATGCAAAGTTACAAGTCACTCTGTCAATTATTTTTTTGTTTACAAGCCATTTGAAATTGACGTGTCAGAGTATTTTTTTAATGAAAAAATTTAATATGGTGCAGTGATTAGATTCTTTTTTTTTGAAAGGTTTAAAAGCAAAGGAAATTTATGAACAATTATTAGAAGTTTATTGGGAGTCCTCACCTTCAAAACGCACCGTTGAATTTTAGTGGGCGTACTAGGTTTGAAGACGATCCACGCGAAGGACGACCAAAAACCGCAACAACATAGTGAAGATCCATGTTTGACTAAGCGTGAAATTGCTAATGCCATAGGCATCTCAGACGAATGCGCACTTCATATTTTACATGGAGAATTACAACAAAAACCGAACGTTTAAAGCAGAATAAAATCGATTTCTTGCGTCCTTTTATAACTGTGGATGAGACTTGGACCTACCACCATGATCCTAAATTGAAACAAGAAAGTTTACAATGGACTGAAGCTGGTTGTTCAGCTCCAAAGCAGGTGAAGTCACAACGATCAGCAAAAAAGGTTATGGCATCAGTTTTTTGGGATGCAAAAGGAATTTTGTTGATTTAATATCTGCAGAAAGGTAAAGTCATCCGGAAAGTCATTATAGAGATGGCATAAAATTATTGGAGAATCATTAGAATAAGTGTATTGAAGTTAAGAAAAATTATATTGAATTTCGAGCGCAGAAGCTTTTCAACCAACCTGTATGTACCAAGTTTGTTAACTTATAGTAGCCGCTGGACCTAACGCATTTAGTTTCATTACTATATTTTGCTTCCTATCCGAAATATTTATATTATAAGCAATCTCAAATGTGATATAAAGTCAACAAAGAATATATTGGGTATATAGAAAGTGTCAACCAGAGAATCGGAAATTATTATATTGGGGATAATGGGGTTTAGACCAAGGACTTGGCCGATTTCAGCGCTAATCCACATTATTTTTAAGAAAACATTTCCACTCTATTTTAGTAACACATCGCACATTTTCAAGAGCATAACAGTTCTGTTGGAAAGTCGGAACACACTATATAGGGTATATTGCGGCTGGAGGAAGATCTGGAAGACTGTTTGCTTTAACTTTTAATATTACTTTCGTATAAAGTCTGCTAGGGTAACGAAATGCATTAAATGTTGTATGTATATGACAGCTAAGGTTATTCGTGGACCACTTTCACTCAATTTGGATACTAAATTATACTATTGTATATCCGATATTATACGTTCACTTCTACACGTTCTGCTAAGCCATCTTACATACAACTATTACTGGCTTAGTTTGTGGCTAAAAGATAAAGTCCGACTTCGACCGCTTGCATTAGATGCGGCATTTACTCGAATTTTTTTTCATTACGCGAAATCAACAACGCGAACAGTATGTCAAGAGAATGTTAAATATTTAATTTTAATCAAATTGGATCGACAGTTTCATCTCATGTCATCTGCTATTCGCTTTTAAATTGTATACAAATAAAAAATAAAAACCTTAACTTCGGCTACATCGAGCCTATAATACCCTTCACAGGTGCAATTTTTATAGCATTAAAGGGTATAAAAAGATCTTTATGTTGATTTTGATCGATCAGTTTGAATGGCAGCTATATTCTATAGTTGTCCGATATCGGCAGTTATATATATATATAACATATCTCCAAATCTGACGGACTAGTTCGACTATACCATATACAGACATGCAGACAGGCGGACATGGCTAAAAACTCAGCTCGTTACACTGATCATTTATATATGTACTTTTTACGGTCTCCAACAAATCTTTTAGGGTGTTACAAACATCGTGGCAAACTTAATGTACCCTGTTCAGGGTATAATGCAGTAAATTTCATTAAGAAAATTTGTTCTTTAATATCGGTAGGTCGTATTTGAAAACTGAAAATCGGAACACGTTAAAGATGTGCACCTTAACGACGAGAAGCATTGCATGTTGTGTATTTAGAATCTGTAAAATGTGAAAGGTTGCGAATGCGTTCTGTCCATAGTAATGAGAAGAATGAAACTAATACACGATTTAGACGTCTGTTCAAGGTCTTGTTATTGAATACATATCTTGTAAAAACGCCCTAAATGTCGAAAAAGTACTTATTATGCAAAGCAAGTGATAGCATTATAGATATCTCACGATAATTGAAAATTGTTTGAACATGTTTTTCCATAATAAAATAAAAACACAAAACCATTGAATAATTTTTTAATCACGCACTGAGTGAATCATGAACGATTGGACCAATTATTTTGAAAATATTTTTACAACAAAGACATTGACATTTCCTTGATTTGTTAAAAGGCAAAATTTCTGGAAAATTACATAAATACAAAAGCCGTTTGGAGGTCAACTTCACATTGAAGCTGCCATGGTTAATAAGAAAAACAGAAAAGATATATGCCACAAGGATACCATCTGACCCTGAATTACGAGACGATGTCAACTGTTTTATATGTATAATAAATATAATCAGTAAAAATACATCAGTGGGTTGCAATTTGTAACAAAAGCTATATAAGTATATTTCTACTTAACTGAGAAATCATTGTTGCCACATTGTGTTTTTGAATTGTGTTGTATACGCTACATAAGTAATGATTCTCCGCACACAAAGATTTATATTTTTTATTATATGGGAGCTGATAATTGACAAACCTTCCAAAAATGCCGATCCATATAAATATACTAGTAAAGCCGGGCGTTGCGTTGTTGTGGCTATAGTATACATTAAAAACTATTTCAACAAACAATACATTATAGTGAAATTATTATTTATTTATTATATAGAACTTTCCGTTTGTCATTTTACTCAAAACTACAATATAATAATAATAACAACTTTTTTTTTTGAACACATGCTTATGCTTAAAAATATATTTATTTATTTATGAATTGTTTTGATTTTTAACAATTTAATTGATATTTAAACTAACTTGTCTTTTAAGTTGGATTAAACTGACATAGCGTACTTAATTTTACTAAAATCGAATCAGTAGTTTAGGAGCTTACCGCGGACATAACGTTACACGTAATTATGGTAATATAGATGTATATATTATCTTAGTCTGTACCTCTGGTCTCTGGATCATATAGTGCAACGCATTTATTCCTTCACGCAACCCCCAAATTCCGTACTAGATAATTTTCGTCTCTCTAAAACAAAAATGTTTCAATAAAAAATATCATATGGCAACCACGCAATTGATTAACTAAATTCAATTAATGGGCCGGGTCGAGCTAGCGTAGAAACAATAGGATTATCCACGGTAATAAATCTACATTCAAATGAAAATACGAAGAAAACGGTTAAAAGTAAATGAGCAAAAATTATGAACAAGTTGTTAGCGACGTCACAAAATCGAGAAGCAACAAGTTTACTGTTGAAACATTCATACATATATCCATACAAATAAATGTGCCTGTGTAGTTATGCTTGCCTCCGTGTGCCCAGGGGATTGATAAAAAATCACATATCGTAAATTCAACAAAGATGCAACAAACAGCAAGCGCAATGCAAAACACACAACATACCAACAACTACAACTGCATAGCGAACAATGTAACGAAAAACAATAAACACCAATGTAATCAATCAGTTGTAGTGCCAACTAACGAATTGTATAACAGCTGAGTGTTCTTTCTACACAATTAGAATGAAAATAGAATTCTAATAGTTTGCTTTGGAATTTTATGCTATTTCAATCTCCAATCTTATGCGGCACTCATTGGAGACTACAGCGCTATCGCTTCAGCAAACTGTTGGTGGATGAGTTGAGCAATTTTAGGCGGCAAAAATGTGTTTGAGGCTGTATAAAAAGGGCTGGAACTCGGAGAGCCATGCACACAAATGCAGTGTCAGTTGGTCGGTCGGTTGGCTGGTGTTCAAGCATTTGATATTGGCCAGACGAATAATAGTTGCGTATACGCCGTGTAGTAGATTGTGAAAGTTATACGGTGTTTGATCGGTTGTATATGAGTGCATAGAGTTCACTTAAAATTCTTAAAATATATAAAAAAAATAAAATACTTTAAAAGTTATTTATTTTCAAAACTCATTTTGAGTTGTCTCACTGCTTCAGAAACTTGGCGAATATGTTGAAAATACTGAATTATTTAGGTAAGTGAAACTAAAAATTTAAATTAAATAAATGATACCGAGAATTTGTCTTTGAGATTTTTCAAACTTCAGTTTACTGGACCGAAACCATTTTCACTTTAACTATAATTTATAAGTAAATAAATTATTTGAATTAACTGATATTGAAACATTTTATAAGTAAAAAATATTAATATTTATATACCCTTGGTAAATTGTTATTAAAATTTATATTTATGACCATTTTAAATACCTAGAACTCCAACCAAGGAACCAAGATTTTAAGAATGTAGGTATTACTACGGTCTAAAACCAGGATCTACACTTGTACAATATATAATAAATATTAGAATCAATAAACTTATCCCTAAATTTTTTATTTGTAAACATTTGTAAACCAGCAACTTTATACTTTCTAAAAAAGAGTTGAATGAGACCAATTATTTTTGCATTTGCAAGATCATCATTGAATTATAAACGGTGTCACTAACCCGACGTTGTTTTATTTTTATTATTAAAGTACTGTACTTAGGTATGTATAGGAGTATCATAATGATGTACGTAGATGAATACTTGCAAACGGTAATGGTTTAAGAAATCAGGGTCATTTGCTGCCAGCACCATAAACAGCGGAAGCGGGTTAAACTCACCAAGTCGGCACCAAAGCAAAAATTCAAAAAGTAAATATGGTCAGTGTGGCACGTGCGGCTTCAGTACGAATTGCACATTTATATATCAACGTTGGTATGTGTGTAGTTCCACAGGTTTATAAACTAACTAAATTCGTATGCACATACAAGCACATATAAATATACCTGCATACAAAGAACAGACTCAAGCTTCAAGTAAGTACAAAAAGTGTTAACATACCTATGTGAATACATGCAGTCAATATGAGCTAAACCCAACTGAAGTCGGTGCCGTCAGCGTCGCCGCAACCAATGATAAATGTTCGCATTTAAATTGGCCACAAAAGATTGTAATCACGTGCAGCGCCTGCTTGGGGCATGCTCTTGGCCTTAAAAAACTGGGCCACAACCGCGCTTTGACCGACGCATTTTGATTTGCAGCAGCGGACGTCTTTAATTCATTTTACGCTGCAGTGGCCAAAATATACACAAATTTGTAGATACATATGTATCTTATGTATGTTGTGCGTTTTCATTTTACTTGCTATAACCGACTCTCTTTCGTATCATTTCAGGAATTTCACTGCTGCTATTCAGCACGTGTGCACAGGTGAGTCTGATCAGTAGGCTAGTTCAAGGACACACTTGATTAACTTATTTTTTATTCCTGTCAGGCGCAAAGTGGCTACAACTATGCTCGCCCTGAAATTGCGAACGTCGCTGGAGGCGGAGTTGGCAGCTCGAATGTCTTGCGTCCGATAGTACCCGTCGGCAGCAACACCTTGACCGCCTCTCCGACTTCGCCTCTGGGTTTCCCGTCCACCGCTGGCACTGCTTATGGTGGCACAGGCGGGGCTGCCGCTACACCTTTCCCCAGCTTTGGCACGCAGCCGTCGGCGCTAGGTGCTACTGGACAAGGCGCTTATTCAGGTGCCACAAGTGCTGCGGCATTACAAGTGGGCGGTGGTTTCAACGCGGCTAAGCGTCCTATTTTAGCGGGACAGCAACGAAGTGGTGGAGGAGGCGTATTCAGTGGTGGTCTGACGGGTATTACAAGCGGTCAATCGGCATACGGCAATGCACCACGCGTTTCAGGACTTAACGATGTGGACTATAGTGGCGAAGGCGATTATTCAGCCATACCGGGTGTACCAGCCGTTGATTATCCCGTATATGCGGAGGTACCGCAGACAAATTTCGATTGCGCACAGCAACTGCCTGGTTATTACTCGGACGTCGAAGCGCAGTGCCAAGTTTTTCACATTTGCGCACTCAACCGAACCTACTCATTTATCTGTCCGAATGGCACGATCTTCAGTCAGGAGACACTCGTGTGCGTATGGTGGAATCAATTTGAATGCACAACGGCCCCTGCTCTATACGGCAACAATGCTTACATATATGATTATGGCAGCGAACAACGCACTGCAGGCGTTTATAGCAGTTCTGGAAGCGCCGCAGCATTAGGTGCACGCCAACCGACCAGTTATCCAGGCGCAGCTAGTGGCAGCAGCTTACGTGCTACAAGCGCTACATTGCCCTCTGCTGGCGGTATTTTCGGTGCTGCTAATTTACGTCCCACCGCTTTCGGCGCTATCCCTAGCACTGTGACACCAGTGCCGTCGACGGCAGGTTATAATGCAAATACTGGTCGCTTTCCTACTGCCTCGGCAGCCGGCGGGCAGTCCTTTAATACTGCCGTTGCACCGATTTCTGTCGCGCAGTCTACGTATGGTTCCGGTGGTGTTGGTGTCGGCGGCGGTAGTGGTGTGCCGACAGGCACGAGCAATTCTAACGCAAATAGCAATCGCGAATATTTACCACCATCGCAGCGGCAGCGACGTCCATAAATATACGCCTTTATTTAGTAGTATATAAAAATCAACCTTCTATAATATTAAAGACCACTGGAATCTGTACCCGGTTTATGATGTCCCTACTCTCCCACGACCGTACTACTGCTTAGGTTGTACACCTTAATTTTAATATCTTATGCATTGACCCATGTTTATTATAGTAATTAAATATTCATTATCTCATCGAGCTCATCATAAATAATTTAACACTATTCTATTCAGAGGCATGCCTGTTTTCGCTCAACTTCTACAGTTTTCTACCCATACTTCGCTTCATTAATAATATAATTACTAGAATGATTTTACATATTTTTTACAAAATAAAGTATTCATAAAAACTACATTTTAGACGGCTTTTAGAATTTCATATAGAAAGATATAAACATGTGATACAATGTTAGAAGTCTTCCTAGAGAAAAGATCAAAAAATCGAGATAATACCTCCCTGCACTGGAACATTTTATTTTCTTGTGTGAAAATATTGAAAGTTATTCCACAGGCACAACTTCTTCAAAGAACACTTCAACATAAGTCATATTATTACAATACGGAACTGGTGAAATTTTTTTGCAACAAGGTTACAGTTCTATTGCGGCCCTACTGCCGAAATACTGCAGTACCTTCCAGGCTATAGCTTATAACGCAGAAAACGACATAAAGAACATCAATGGCAGACAGCCAGTATAACCTATACTAACCTACAAGATGTTTATAAACGATAATTAACATATATTGCAAAGTTTAGTCAAGACATTACATCTTTTTAGACTGATTAATTACAGTTTACGAAATTTTTGGAAAAAATCGATATCCGAATGATCACATTGGCAACTTCTAGCCTAATCTGATACTCTATGCTGATACACGCGTAGCTAGCAAAATTTTCGGCATCCATTCAGCGTCTCTTGAGGATTATGAAATAAGTATGAAAATAACGATTTGGAAGGATTCTATTTCACAACTTATATAGCATAAGTAATTTGTTCCTACGCATTGATACCTTTACGCATAGGGTTAAAGAATCTTCCATTTAAGCCGAAAATACAATACATTAACCTTTATCAAAAGTTTTCAAAATATATGGTCCTGATTTTATTCAAAGTTGCTCTCTACAGTATTTCCTTTCGGAGAGGACTGTAGTTTTATCAGTTCAAGAGTATATGTAAGTAAAACGTTACAAACAATACTAAAAAATCTCAATATTAATCTTAATCTATAACTCAAATAAACCATTACTGATAAAACAAAGATTTCAATTTCGTACCGTTACCTTTTTGGAAGTGTGCATTTGATAGAAACAGCTGACGTTATGAATGACAATAAGAAACTTTGTTTGCCATTGCTATGAAAGTTTGACAGTTCGCTTCACATAGGGTGTCACAATTTTATCTGTAACATTTTTGCTTATAATAATGACTCTCAAACTATTATTTAAGAAGAGCGGCTGCATAAAAAATCTTAGTTAAATATATCTCTCTCAGTTCATAAAAGCAAACGGAAATATAAATTCCATAATTTTTATTGTTACTAATCAACTAATACAGAGAATGTAATAACAAAAATGGAGTTTATGGATTACGTTGTTGCCAACGTTGGTATCTTCGTAATAGCGCCACCTGTGCGCTCAACTTTCGCGCCATTGCACGCACTTGATTGAGATCTCTTAACTGTCGCCCGTAGGGAGGACCTTTGTCTTCACGGCCTGCCAGTTTACGTTTCTCTAAGTTTTTCTCTGTTTTTAGTACAGACTTCTCAATGCCTTCCTTAACATCTCCCCTCTCCGTGGTATAAATACGCTTCACACAACAACTACACAACGTATGCTTACACCAACGCCCACAACCGCCATATTCAACTCTGAGAAATTGAAGAAAACTCAACTCTTTCGCCTCATCATCTTCCGGTGTACTTTTGTTTTCCGAAAAAAAGTCACAGATTAGGATAATAAAAAGATTAAGCAGCACAATGGCAATGACGAACATTAGCAAAGCATACAAAATGAAGCCTAGTGTGAGCCCACCGTAGCCGAGATCATACGGGCTAACAGTGCTGCTGAAACCAAATGAGTAACTCATGGATGCGGTGAAGCTCTTTAAGAGATGTGTGAAATTTTCGGTGTCATTGCCATTTATTATGTAGGAGCTGATGCCAAAAGCAAATAGCCAAATGGCGATGATTACCAAGAGTGTGAGTAGTGCCCACCGCGCATGATACAAGGTGCGTGTGAAGACACGAAACGGTTTGGCGAACTGAAAAACCTTCCACAGACGTACGGTGGTCAAGCAAATAAGAAATCCAATAGTCAAATTTGATAAATAATCAATACTTGCCGGCACACGGAAATCTATAAACTCCAGTTTCATCGACTCCTCGAATTCTGACATCAACGTCGATATTTTAGTCTCACGTACAATAATCAAAATGATTATAAATATATTTAGTAGAACTATAATACCGTCCACGCAATTCCATGGCGAAGCGGACATTTTCGTCTTGTACAGTAAATTCAAAACCAGATGCTTGATAAAATAAATTAATGTAAAAAGGTATAGCAGAAATGTTATCAAGAAAACGGCAGGCAAATTGTCCACATTCAACAACAGTCCAACGCTCTGAACATCAACATGTGAGAGCACGTTTCCGAACGGTGTGTACTCCAACAAAATTGTGCAGACACTAAATAAATTCGAATCGGCATTGTAGAGCGTGAAGTCGATGAAAACGGCGGCGGTGCGGGCATCAAACCAATGAGCTTTCTCCAGATAATCCAGTATTTTGAGACTATTATTTAGATCGCGTGATAGAAATGTTGCATAGCCATTATTCTCAGCGTACGTATGCAACTTGCCCTGATGATGAGTGGGAGTAAATATACTCGAATCCATTTGACCCGCTAACCAAGGGCCGTAAGTATGTATATACTTAGAAATATAGTGTAACTGCTCGTAAGGCAACTGCCAACGGGGCATGAAATTTTTATCATCGAAATCTGGTGCACTCAAACCAATATACGGTTTTTCGCGTCGTACTTGCCGGAGCCGCACTACGCTTAGAAGCTTGGCGATATTATATTGTATCCAGCCAGGCTCCTCTATCACGTTCTCATTGTAGTCGCGTCCCTGGTTGAAAGCTCCAATTACAATACGTCTTATATATTCGTAAACATCATCTAAAGTATTCACATAATAAAGTCCAATCGCATCCAAACGTTTTTCTTGTAGCACCGTTTTTAACGTTTCCGTATTATAGTAAGCTTGATAGTTGCGTGAGCCCACCACTAAAAGCAATAGTAATACGAAATACAATCCATACAAGCGCAGCTCGTTGATGATTTGTTTGTATTTGAGATTCAGCGATTCGTTATAATGCGAAGGTGTTGTGTACATTGCCGCCTCGTGGCTGGCTAACTGTAAGCGCACAAGTGCATCCTCATCGTAATTGTAGGTGATCGAAGAACGACCTACGTCAGGACCCTCTTGCACAGCGGGTTTCTTACGTAATGCCGAATAGCACGCGTATCCGAGAAATTTTATGAAGTCTCCGATGAGGCAGTGAAAGAGTATCACGACAACAATTACAAAGAGTATCGCGCGAAACTTTCGTGATTCATGCGAAAAACCGGATAGGCAAATGATGAGAATCAGACACCACACCACAATGAAGATAGACACTCCGAAGAGAATATACATTTTACGCGGCGCTTGCATGTTGGTGCAGCAGGTCAATACTTCGAAAATTGTATTTATTTGATAAAATTGATTTTATTTGGATTTTAAGAATACAAATTTTCAAAGTTATTAAGAATTGTAACTCCATACGAATATATGTATAATGTCAATTAAGTACTTTTATGTCAATCATTCTTTTAGTTACTTACATACATATGTATGTAAAGACTTGGAGTTTTCTACACTGTAAAATCGCTTACGTCTATGCAGCTCTGCGTTTTCTTACATATACACGCCTGAGAAGTTCAATGAAATATAATTGCAACACAACACTAATATGACTTCTGGTCAAATATCATACAACTGGTCAATATCTTACAATTTTAATAAAAGTCGCGTAGCGAGATGTAACATATTTGACCCTGAACAGGGTATATTAAGTTTACCACGACGTATGTATTGTAACACCCAGAAGGAAACGTCGGAGACCTTACAACATATACATACAAGTATACGGGTAGATGATCAGCATGGCGAGCTGAGTTGCCGATATCGGATCACTATAGCATATAGCTGTCATTTAAAGTGAACGATCGGAATTAATTGCTTGTAAGGAAGCTTCTGCACTTTCTCCTCCACTGTCCGGCTTTTGCTAGGCTGAAAATGAAACATCTGGGCAATCACACTTTTGGCGGACCAGAAGATTTGGCCGAAACGGATACAGGCCGTCTCAACAAGTTTGTCATAGACACAAAGCGCTTTGTCGGCATGTAAGGGTCTATTGATCCGGCTCATAGGAGTTTTGGGTACCACAACGGACCCTCTAACCTAACCTAACCTAACCTAAGGAAGCTTCTGTATTTGGGTATTATACCGAAGTTAACGTTTTTTCTTATTTTATTATAATTTTAATGCTGTGTCTACTCATACATATATCTACTTACGGCTTTAACCAAAGGAGTGGGGAGTTAAAGAATTTTTATTCCGGTGATTGATTTAGAGAAGTATGGAAAAAGCGCAAGTGAAATTTATGAGCTTCTCAAAAAACTTAATATTTTGAGAATGCTTGCTGTTGATCGTTCTTTACAAACGCGGCATTTGATGACAGAAAGAAAATCGGTGGTAAATTTCAGCGATAAAAAATTGAAATGGATATATCGACCAAATCAATGGATATATCGACCAAATCAATGTCAAGACTTATTAAAGATGATCTCCACATAAAAGCAATATTCCTAGTTTCATAGCCGATGATAGGTCGGCTGGAAGTCCAAATTTGAATCCATTGAACTACAAATTGTGATCAGAGTAGGAGAACATGACCTGTCGAATATATTATATCACAGAAATTTCGAGAGGCTCGTCAATATCAATAGAAATTGTGCGTGTTGTTATTGATCAATGGCCGGATCGTTTGAGGGCTTGGTTGAAAGCAAAATGTGACTTTTTCGAATAAAACTTTGCACAACAATCACTGAAAATAGTATATATTATAAAATAAAATAACCTTTTTTAAAAAATATTGTATGGTTTTATTTTTATAACGATCTGAGCTTGTAACATATCATTTGGTCGGCCTAAGTATATTCATTTACTTTTCTTCTTATAAAGCACATTCTTGTGTTTCAAGTGATTCAAAACATTTAGAATCTCAATTTTCGATTATCAAAACAAAAACACTTACAAGAAAGAGAAAATTTCTCAGTTATTTGCATTCGCACATTCTGACCTCGGTCTCTCTTAACTAATAATTATATCGCCGCTTATCAAGCGACATATGTGTGTTGTTACATATCTATCTCCATACATCGGCTTTCGTACACTTGAGAATGAAACTGAGCTCAATCTGACGGCTTTAGTAGCATTCGAGATCTCGATGATGTCTCAAGTGACGATTTCGAAGCGCTGTTCAAAGTTATCGTGCGATAGACATAAACACTGAGAAACAACAGTGTTAAGCTCCAAAGAGGCGACATACATACATCACTGAGCAGTTGTAATTTAAGTTGTAAATTATGCTGGACTCTGTTGTTGTTGATTTTTCATTCAATAATCATTTGAATATATATTTGATAGTGTTCTTGTCAATTATCGGCGGCCGTCAGCTTCGTAAGTAAAACTTAAGAAAATAGAAAAGCTTTGGCTTGTGCGTGATATCTTGTTCTTAATCTATTTATGAAATTTATGAAAAAAGTGGCGCAATCTTAGAATTTTGTAATTTATTTTTAAACAAACCGACTTGACTCATTTGTGTAAATCACAAATTATTGCAATTTGTAAAAAGATTTAAGAGAGTCTTAATAGCACATATGTACATACATATGTATACATGTCTCTCTTCATAAACAAATTGCACTTACAGACTAAAATTTTAGAGCGTAGCTACTGGTTTCTTCCTCTGCCTCAGCATTATCGCCGCGTCGACTGCGCTTTTGCGTAACTTTCTGAATTCAAAGGAACTTTTACGACAGCCCAAGTTAAGATTTCCAACTAAATTAAAAGAAAGTAATTATGGGATCTTGTTAGTCTCCCTTATCTCATATTCGATTATTTAAAAAATACAGCTTCATTTCATTTTACCATATGTGACCAGAAGCAATACTCTTCCGTAAGTTCAAGAAAAAGTTCGCTAAATGCAATTCGTTATTTAAATGCTGGATTTCAAAGTTTTACACCCTCTTTAAAGGTGTCACTGATATCTGTACAACCAATACCACTTTGAAAACTGAGTATTTTTTGGCATATAAAAAATGTTTGTAAAGGTTCTTCTATGATGAATGCGAGTTTATAGTACACTCCTCTACAATAGAAAAATTCAAAACTTAATGCTCTTAAGTTATATGGCAGATTGATCCGGTTATCTTTTGATTTTAGCTCAACATATATATGTACCATATACTATGAACGCAATCTTTCAATTTCATCTATCTACCGACATTTTCCAAAGTTTATAGTCTCCCCTATTAGTTCTTCAATTAGTTCCCGGAATAACTCCCGCTTTATTCAATAACTTTAGAGAACACAGGATGCGATTGGAGCTGTGACAACGGCGAGTGTTTAGACAGTGAATATCTCTGCGATGGTATAATTAATTGTGCCGATGGTTCGGATGAAACTATAGAAAACTGCTACGGCAATTCAACATGTCCGTCTTTCGCATTTCGTTGTGCCTATGGAGCTTGTATTACGGGCGAAAATCGTTGCAATAAAAAACGGGACTGTGCAGATAACTCGGACGAATTGCCAACCATATGTCAAATGACGAGTATCGAATTGAACTTGGCGATACGCGGTCAATGTGGGTAAATACTTACAAAACTTTAGTCAACGGTCACGGGAATTAGCTTTCTAATATTTCAGTGACTCGAAAATGCAGTGTAACAATGGTCTATGTATAGATAGTGATAAGTTATGTGATGGCATACGAGACTGCCCGGAAGGAGAAGACGAAACCTTGGAAAAATGTGCACCATTTACATGCCAGTCCTTCGCTCATAGATGCGCCTACGGTGCCTGTATAGAGGGTAAAGCCGCCTGTAATGGCACCGCAGAGTGTCACGACGGTTCGGACGAATCATACGCTCTATGCGGTGGTATACGAAAGAAAGGTTCCAACGTACGACCAACGCCGAAAGCAACGGAGACGCCTACAACACCAACAACTCTAAAAATTGAAAAGAAGTGTCAAATACCCGCCAATATTGTAAATGCAATAATCACGAATGCAAACTTCGGTACAAGTATCGCCGTCGGTTCGGATGTGCCAACAAATATGCTTATTAAATTTGCATGTCAACCTGGCTATATTTTAGACGAAGACGGTATGTTGCTTTGCACAAGCAACGGTTGGCACAAAAGGCTGCCAGTCTGCATCAGTCGCGGTGAGTAAATTTTAAAAGTGTTGCTAGAAAATCACGGACATGTACATATGAAATGTTTTGTTTATTCATAGAATATTGTGATGCGGGGATGCTACATGCGGATAAATCTACCGTGGCCACTTGCTTCTTCGATAATGCGCCTGTGGTATGTGAAAAAATCAGACCAAACACTATTGCTAGAATCGATTGTGCAACAGGATATCAGCAAAAGGAGTGAGTAGACCATTCATATTTCATCATTCTCCGTCACTTTATTAAATATGTTTTTGCCATTTTAGTGTACCCCAAAAAACCACTTTACGCTGTACAAATAAATACAATTGGAATCAGCCGAGGACACCATGCGAAATAAAATGTGGGCATGTGCAACAACTGTCGACGCCATATTCACGCAATGGCATAGAAATTAAAATTGTTGAGGCTCCGTGGCATGTTGGCATTTATATCAACCTAAACGAAAAGGATTTTAAGCGTGTTTGTGGCGGGTCCATAGTTTCTGATCGCCTCGTTGTGACAGGTAAATTGTTAAATGAATAAGGAAATACTAAAGTTATGATCAGATTTTGCTATTTCGAAATTCGGTTTTCGTATAAAAATGTATATATTGAACAGAGAAGTTCGAGGTCTTATCCATTGTCAAAACGATGTTCTGCAATTTAAGTTGCCTCTGAGCAGCTGTTTGATTATTCAAAATACATATTCCATTATTTGCATTGACATTGCCGGTTCTGGGGAGAAGTTAAAGGTTAAAATTTAACGGTAGTCGAGACAATAATTTATATATCATACACCCGTCCCGGTATCTGCCGTCAGTCTAATATTATGAACAAAAAATATCAAAATTTTTAATCTATTAAATCAATTTGCATCGATTTAATCTGAATTAACCATAAATTTAAGCAATCCCCAATAATTGATTGCTAAACAGGGCTGGATTGACGCAATCAAAAGCAATGAAAATAAAAAAAAACGATATCGCAGGGGCAGTAAGTTCAACAGGAATTAGAGTAATCAAATATCAGGACAAGAAAGAAATAACAATGATTGCAACTTTTCATGGTCGAAATATGTAAGAAACTGGGGAAAAAACGCGAAGGAGAACCGAGTTAAAGGTGAAATTCACCTTTTGACCAAATGATATATTACCACAGCCCTGCAAGAAAAGAGAGCCTATTACTTCAAAAAAAGCAAGAAAAACCGCTCACGAACTCGGCGAGATTCCTCGAAATGATGATGAGAAAATTGTACGGAAAAGATGTGTTGACTGTTATACTTGTAAAAAACTGGCCGGAAATCACAATACAAATAATGCTATCTCAAAGGCTAAAGAAGTTTCTATAAAATGTACCATACTGTTTATCGTGCTTTAATGAAGTGCATTAAAATTTGTTAGAATTTTGTTTTCGTTTTTTTTTTTATACAGTACAGAATATAATGAAATTGTTCATCTTTTTTATTTAAATAACTTTTAGATTTATGAAATAGTTTTTAAACATGTTATTATTTATATTTTAATTTTTAAAAAACCTTTTTTATTGGTTTAATCTTGCATATTTACAGTTATCTCTGTTAACACTGTAAATGGTTTCCTTAAAAAAAGCATCACCTGTACGCTCCGAGTCACAAGAGCAAGACAAATTGTGCACCTCATATAATGCACAAGCGGTTAAATGTCAACGTCTGTGAATCATATGTGGTGCACAGAACAGTCAAAGAGTTAACATATGGTACATCTCTGGTAGCGCTGTTGGATGATTAACCGGTAATTTAGCTGATAGGTGGCTTGTAGGATAGAAAGCATAATTCAGTTAAGAAAATTGCTCTGTCCTAAGTGAGAGTTCACATCTCATCAATCAAAGTAGTACTTTTGTCAGATTTGGAAATCCAAATTATAAATTATAAAAACATTTCTACCAACTAAATAGCTCAAGATTAAATTTTATAAATTCCTTAACCTACTTCGCATACGAATTTACCCAAACTGCAAACGATGTGAACAAAATCTCGGTCTCGGTTATTAGACTGCTGCAGGTAATCACCCGACTTTGTTTCTTTTTACTTCATTATGGACATTTAAATCTCAAAAGGAGGCATTAGATATTTTATCAGAATATAAGTATTAAACTCATATACATAAAATGTGTATATACAATACATACATACAAGTATGTGTCCGATTTATTGTACATATATATGTATGTATTCAATTATGTGCATACCCATATATACATACATTTGTATATAATTTCGTGTTCTATTTTTCTGTATAAAGCCGCCCATTGCGTCTATGATGAAGCCAATTTAAAACAGTACGAAAATTGGCGTTTCAAAGTGTCTCCAGCAAAGATGGCAAACTCGTACATCAGCGCTGATGGTATCGATGTCACAAATGTATATATTCCAAAAAAGTGAGTTAAATTAACAAAAGTGTAGAGCAAAAAGTGATTGTGTCTTTTTAGGTACACAGGTTCCGGAGATAACTATAACGGTGATATGGCGATTATCACCTTACAGAAGCCGATTACATTCGATCATTCTGTGAAACCAATTTGCTTTGAAAATCACATTTTGGCTGCTGCCACAGTGGAAAATGGCATGGATGGTTTCATAGTCGGCTGGGGTCCCACTGAGAGCAGTAATAATGTCGACGTCTTTCAGAAAGTGGAAGTAACTACGCTCTCCTACTACAGATGCATCGAGCGGTTAAGCAGCAATGATAAACAGTATGATTTGCCGACTGATAAGTTTTGCGTTGTGCGCAAAGGAACATCAGGCGATATTTGTCGAGGCGATAGCGGTGGTGGATTCGTCAGATATACCCATGGACGATATTATTTGCTAGGAGTAATAAGTCACGCTCCATTAGGCAAAAGCAATTGCGGCAGAGACAGCCTTATAGCGCTTACGAATGTGCAATACTATGAAGAAATAAAGCTAGGCATAGATGGCGAGGCAGAATATGTTACGTCGTAAATTTAGCGTAATATTTAGGAAATAATCTACTGTTAAGATATAAGATTTTTGTACTCAAGCAATATTTTTAAATAGATACAACAGAATTTAGAGTAATGATAAACACATGTGTACAACAATGATGCATTAATTTGTATATGTTTTTAAATTGATTTATTAAAAGCTTTATTTTCTTACCAAGAACTCTAATTAAAAAGTTTGTCAAAACTGTGAAAGCTCAAAATAAGATGGCTTTTGACATGAAAAGTAGTCTGCCTTTTGAACGGCATACATACATATATAAATGCCTTTCCATTGCCGTCTTAAATATATAAATTTTACTTTTAACTTTTTTGCTACTTTTGCCATATATAAAAAAAAATTTATATAAAAAAAAAACATTTTAAATATGTATGTATAAATATTATATTTATACGTAATACTTGAATAGTTCGATAAACTTTTTAGAGCCACAAAAAGAAATTTCTAATTAAAAAACAAAAATCATAAATAACATGCAGCGTCGCAATAATTATACCCTGAACAGGGTATATTCAGTTTGCCACGAAGTTTGTAATACCCAGAAGGAAACGTCGAAGATTCTATAAAATATATACATAAGCATGATGAGCTGAGTTGATTTAGCCCAGTCCGTCGTCGCACAAGAAGTTGACAAATTGCATAAACCAGAAGATTTTCTCAATACTTTTGTCAAATTTTGACTGTTTGTCTACGGTATTTTTGTCCTTTGTGCAACGACTGTCTATACCTTTCACATATGTTAGTCGGTTGCCAAAATTTCGTTACTTTTCCTTTAAGAAAAAATACTTTATTTCGATATAAAAAGTGCCAAAATTAATATAATAGATTTTCATATTTATATCTATTAAAAAGTTGATTCAATAAACACGATTTTCTTTACTCCTAAACCTTTACTTTTATACCGAAATAGTTATGAAGTTAAAAAAATATTTTAAAAATAAGAAAATCACTTGTCAACACTCTACGTCCAGGATAGTGTTAGATATAAATTACGTCCACAGAAAAAGGGAAAATCCGAATTGACAAATCTAACTGAAGCTTTTGTGTACGTGCCCTTGACGAACGTTTGGACAGACTTTTTGTTTCGCTAGATCTTAAAACTTTTGAAAATCAACAAATAAATTTTTTCAAATTTGTTTTCAAACAATCATATCTGCCAAAATTGATTTTTTCACCCGCCATAATATTTTTAATAAAATATCCTATGTCCTTTCGGCAAATGTATAGTATAGGCCCCCAACGAAGGAGGCCGCGAAAATTAAATTTTTTTATTGTTTTAAAAGTCAATTTTTCAATTTTTTCTTTTTATGTTTTTTTCGTCAAAAATAAAACAAAATAATCAAAAAATAAACACACTTGGTACATGTTCTTTCGCGTCAACCTCTTTACTGCACACAAAAGAACTATAGACACCTTGGTATTGGATCGATCAGAGTTTTTTTTAAACCGCGGGCGAAGGCCGCCAGTGCAGTATGGATGTGCGAATTAAAACATAAATTTTTCGATGTGTACAGTGTAATTTTTAATAAGTTAATAAAAAAATGGGTGCAAAATGTGTTAAACATATATTTATATACAGGGTGGCGTACGAATCGTGCTACAAAAACAAACCGTAATAACTTTTTTGGCAGAAATAATCTACGAGACGGAACTTTACCCAGAACGAGTCACTGTGCGGTGCACTTTCATCAAGGTGTATGGTCAGGACATACTTCCTTTAAGAAAACGGTGTAAAAGTAACGATCAATGAGCACCGTTCTTTAAAGGTGTAGAATGAGTTTTTTTTTAGCCAGAACTGCGCCGAGGACGTATCCCTTTCTAGCGTTTGGTTCCAGCAAGATGATAACCAGACCGGTTATTGGGTAGCTCCACGTTTTTAACCACTAATGCAGAATGCTTCAGATCATTATCATGAATAAAGTAGTAGCCATCATATAAATTGAGTTTAACTGCTGATGAAGCCAAATTATATTTTAACACTGCCTAGTAGGCCATTTTTTGCATACTTTCTTCGATGAAAAGAAGGGTACCGATGCCATTTGCTCCCACTGCACCTCTTTTGCTTCTATTGCACGAAACTCCACACAATGCAGCCTGTGCTTATGCTTTCAAATTAGGTGAAACCAAAAAGTTCCGTACAGTTTGAGGGTGGATTTTGCAATGCCAACTTTCTCCAACTCCTTGGTGTTAGCGACAGCGTAAAAGCTGAAATCATTTAAGAGAAAGGTTCCTTCAAAGTCAAAGCCTCTCTCAGTACAAGTTTTTTTTTTTGTTGGTTCACTGTATATACAAATTTTTGAAAAAATTTAAAAAATCCAATCACGAATTTCTCATATATGCGTCAAACTAAACGATTAAACAAATTATCATTTTACTATACATTTACCGTCCTTTCTAATACCTTTATGAATGTGTGCGGTTTCGGCACTTACATTCCCATTTAAGGCCGGAATATTTACATTGTATTCGAAAATTTAAATGTTATTATCCACTTTTTCTGTAATACGTGTAAAGTAATAAGTTTCGTTAATTTTTGTTTATTTTGTTTATTAAGTGTGATCGTTACTACACCTGGTAAGTTACTTTACAGAACTGAGAACTTAAATCTGAGTAAGCTTAAAACTAATAGTTCAAACAGTCAGTGACGCAAAACCGTGTACCGAGTGAGCTGATACAGACCGGTAGAACTCTGACTTAGGTCACAAGCGACTTTTTTGTTGCGGAGGAGCTACTCGCGTTAACTTATTTATGAATGCAAATATGCATTATATTATATTTAATGGTAATGAACGACAAAAAAGCTTCCATCTATCATTTCATGTTTTGTTTAGAAACTAATCAAGACTCTTGCTTTCGGTAAAGTTTACCAGAACTTATTGTGAATAGTAATTGAAAATAACGTTTATTCGACAAAAACAAATTTAAAAGAAATTTTTGCGCAGCATGCCTACAAAGTTATCCACATTTTTTTTGTAAAAGTGATCGCTATCTTTCTATTTCAAAGTTTAACACTTAATCACAAATTATGAATTTCTCGCAGAAGAAAAAGGTAAGTGATCTAAACATTGTAGTTTCATTAGTTATAAATTTTTTATTTCAGTCACAACAAAAAAATGTTGACGTAAAATCTCAAAACTGGGGTATAGGCATTAACCAAGAACGATTTGCAAGTGCCAACGAATTGTTGGACCTAGCGTTTGTAAAAACACTTTTACCGTGCAAAAGTAGCTTTGAAATAATGCATGGTACGCACCTCCCAACGAATTTGCCTGGCTATGGCATAGCGGATGTGTCATCAACAAATAGTACAACTAATACAGCCGGTTTATCGAAAAAGCAGAGGAAACGTCTACGACAACGTGAAAGGGAAGCTCAGCGTGCTGCAGTTCAAATGGCAGTTAATAAAATTGAATCCACAATTAAAACCTTGCCCAACAAGTACTCTCTCGAAGGCAATGCAAATATTCCCCAGATACCTGCTCTGTCTGGTATGTTGTACGACCTAGCCGTACAGTTTCGTACAGAGATATGCTTATTACAAATGCTCATGGACTCGGAGACTCAACAAAATTCTAAAACAACAACTGGAAAAGAATTAATTGTGGCAGAAATAACATTAGCGAATAATAGTCCAATAACAAAAGAGGCATTCCAATTTATGCGTTCAGTGATTCTCAACGCAATTGAGAAATATCAAAAGCAGAAAAAAGCCACGCCCCTTTTCTATAGCATGAATCACAATAACACGTATATAAATATACTTTGTGAAGATGCGTTTGCATTTGGGTGTTTGCAGGATTGTGTTGGACGAATGTCCGCTCTAGGCAGTGTATCGATGTATCCTTTACAGGCAAGTGCTGGGCGCTTATATTGTTACAGTGTAATATACACTGGGATTATAAATGATCCAATGAAATTTTTGTTGCAAATCCGTTTGCATATATCGAAATTGCGTACCGATCACTGGATTATTGCAGACAGCAAAGTATGTACCGATGACCAAGGCGAAACTCAATTCCTTTTCCTTGTGGATGAAATTTCGTCCATAGCGCTCGAGTACCGTTATGGCAATAGGCTTTTTATCTGTTTGGAAGAAGCACTATTTCATAATCATGGACAATTACCAAATTTCTTTTGACAACTTTTCCCATTACAATCATTAGCCGGTATATAACGAATGAGTCAGTGTTTATCCCGTAAAATGTTCATTTATTTTTATAACTGTATTTTGAAGGAATTTACCCAATCAATGGTAGGAATACGCCTATTTTATTTTGACACACTTAACAATAAATGAAATTGAAGTGAACTGAATCAATCTATAACCTTATAATATTGCCAACATTTTTTATTTTTTCGTAAATTAAAAAACACCTTTTTTAATTATACTAATATAAGCTAACAATTGTTGACAAGAGCATCGTAAAAATTAAAATTTGGATAACCTTTATTTTTTGTTTTTTTCGGCAACGCTTCACTTTCCAAAAAGCTTTTGCAAAATTGCTTGAAATCAGAATTGAAAAATTGCTGTCTGCCTTTTTTAAATTTTGGATCAGTCTTCTTCGGCACCGGTATAACTGGGTTGAACACCATTTGTGTGCTGTTAAACTGATCGTAGAGCTCATGAGAGGACCTAAAACAAAAAAATATAATTACAAAAAATAAACTTAAAACTTCTTCTAATACTCACAGTTTGCCAATTTCTGGTGACAAGGCCCCTTCTCCAGATGCTGGCACCCCATTGGCAATGTGCATAGACATTTTACGCACCGTTGGATGGTAATGGCGAGACAGTATGGTCAACTCATATAGCGCCGTGTTTGAAGCATTACAATACTCTGGATCCTCCAATTCTGGATCATAATTACCTGATCCAACGCTAGTGTCCGTATCCAGTAACACGTCTAATACAGATGTTAATTGGAAAGTTGTTTTTATTGTGCCAAGGGTAGCTAGTGTACCATGATGCAATAAATGCAGACTAAGCATAAGCAAACGTTTTATAAACGCCATTAAACGTTGCTGGCTCATATTGCGTCTTCTTTTCACCAAAACTTCATTTAAAGTACCGAGTATGATGCGGAAGTCTTCATGATTTTTTCCCGCATTCACAGTAAGCATATTTTTATAGAAGTGCTGGTAGAAACGTATTGGATCAATATTCAGCACTTCACCCTGGCCTGAGAGTATTACGAAAATCGTTTTTATGCAATGCAATTGTTCACGGTAACCAAGATCCATTTCTTCTAATATGCGATTCAGCACATCGATAAGGTCAGAGAAAAAGTCTAAATTGATGACATGTGCAAACCTATTGGATAATTCCATAATAAAAAAAGATTTATTAGATAACTTAAAAAACAAATATCCGCGTACTCACTCTGCTAAGCCCTCTAAAATGGCACTCAGCACCTTCGAAGTTGGATCGTTTTTCAAAACTCGGAAATAAATTGTAAACACCATTTTAGTTATTTCTGTTAGTTTGTAAAGTTTTGTTTGCTTGTTCTCTTCGGCACGGGTTTCATCCAACTCTCTGGTGACTTCAGCCAATTTCTTCCGTCGTTTGCGCTCTTTCTTTGATAAGCTCATCAAACGCTGCCTGTGCGCCTCCAATTTTTTTTGTTTCAACTCGTTCTCTTTCTCAGCATCTAAATTGACATTTTTTATCTTAAGCGCTAGTAAGCAAGTAATACACTCAACGTGCACATTTGGTAGTTTAGACTTTATAAGGTGGTTTATGCGTCTCACAATGAACAGTGTCATATCTAACTTCTTGTCATTGGCGAAAAAGGTGCGGAAACACTTATTAATTGTTTCACGCATATTCTCATAGTTACAGTTTAACATATAGACCAAGAGTTGTGCAACATTTTGTACATAATTAAAATATGGATGCGCGTTGAGTATTTCACACATACTTTGTACAGCCACCTCAGCCATTTTAATAGCCTGTGAAGTTACACGTCCCTGTCCACGTTTGTTCACTATAGCTGTAAGTTTCTCAAGTTTTTGCAAGAATTTTTTAAATTGTTGAAGCAGCGCGTTTTCATATGTAACACGTTCTAAAGTAGCTTTGCGAACTAAAGAGTTTAATACATAAATCATACATTAAACGAATACGGTTCAAAGTAATTCAAAATTACGCACCAGTTTGCATTTTCGTGTCCACCTGTCCTACGCGATATTCAGGCAAAATGTCTTTGAATATTTCCGTCACCGAGAGTATTGCCAATTTTCGTACTGTTATCAGATTTGGTGTACCGGCTGTATTTGTTTCTTCCATCAGCTCATATAAAGCATTAAAATTTCGCATTTTGTCTTCTGGTTTTTCAAGTAGACCAGAACATATTATACCTATACGATATTTTTGACGCTCTATTTCCTGTTGACGCGCAATAAGCAAATCAGTCGTGGAAATCAGTTTTTTTTCGGGCTCAGGTAGAGCACTTCCTTCGCCAATATCATTTACTACATCATCATCACTGTCTTCATAAACAACGTTCTCTTCATCGTCGTCAATCTCATCCTCCTCTCCTTCTGCTCCGTCGTCCTCTTCCTCACCACGTTTAATCTTTGGTTTTGGTATGTAGTCTACTTCAGCGGTGCGCGTAATGATTTGGCCATCACGACTTTTTATAGGCAATAAATTGACTTTGACTTTTTTCTTTTCATTGTCCACAACGGCTTTGTTTGTGTAAGCCTTTTCTAAACCCACGGATTCCTTTACTTCTGCAACGTCAGTTGCATTTTTTCGTTTACGTTGCTTATTTAAACCTTTTTCATGCAAATATTCCAAATCATCACCGTCCAACATATCCGATATGTTATTAACCAATTCAGATGGATCCAAATCATCACCCTCATTATCAAGGGGGTCATTGTAAATATCACCCTTTTGTTTTCGATTTTGCGGCAATTGTTCACGTTTTTTCGCCTTCTGTCTGAATATATTTTGTTTTCGATCCTTAGCCGCTTTCTGCTGAGCCAATTTGTGTTGTTGTTGTTTGGTAAGTGGAGTCTTCTTAGATTTGAGATGTGCACTGCGTTTCACCGCACTAATCTTCACCTTTTTCTGTAAATTTGAATGTTGTTAATATTGTTTCGGTTTTAAATTAAATGAGGGTTTGCAGTGCATTATCAGAGTAGAAAATACAACCACCGTAACAGTGCTTATATATTATTTACAAACCGTGCCCATTTTATATACAAATTACTTATTTAAAGTAATTATTGAATCGAAGACAATCGCACGTGTACTGTAGTTGACGCTATAATGCTACCACTGTGTAATGAGTAAATGTCGTTCAAAATAAAAAAAGGAAACGATATCGAAGTAATAAATTACTGCTTATAATTCAAAATTTTACAAAATAATAACAATAGCAGTACTTGTTTTCAAAGTTAATCTATAAATCAAATCGATTCTAAATTTCAAAATATGAGAACGGTAAATATAAACTTTTTTTAATTCAGTGGCATCTACTTTATGAACAGCTGTTATAACAGTTCAATTTGTAAACAAAATCAAATCAGATGTTCAATTTATCTTTAAAGTTGCCAACCTATTCTCTTTTGCATCTTTAATATCAGAAATAGATAACTGAAGTAAATTAAGGGTGATGCAATAAAAAAATTTTTTTAATTTTGTTTTAGGCAAATATATAATTGTAATAAATTATGCGTGCGAATACATCGATCTCTAGAGTATTGATAAGAAAACACAATATACATTGTTACACTAGATATCTGCTATATTCCGTCGGAGAAAAATGTTTCACGATGTTGAAATCAACCAACCTTGTACATTGAAAAACAAAACAATTTGAATTAGTCTACAAAAATCTGACGTTTAGTCTTGAAGAAGAGTGTGGCAACCGCGATTAGCTGAGAGAAATCCAATCTTTCTAATTGCAAGTACTTTTAAATCAATATTTAATAATTTTAATAATGTCTGACGAAGATGATTATATGTCGGACAAGTTCCTTTGCGGGTAAGGCATGTTTCAAATATGTTCATAAATTGAAAATCTTACTAAACTAATCATACAGAGACGTTCGACCTAGCCTTGTACAACAACCCAATAAAAAGAGGCAGATTTCATTGGAGGAGAAGAAAAAGGAACATATTAAACGTCAAAAGCAAGATAGCATGGCGCGCAAGGGAATTGTGAACAATATAACATTGGCAGAATCTCTCAAAAAGCCTATAGAGAATCAGAACAAGGGCTTTCAGATGCTTGCTAAAATGGGCTATAAACCGGGACAGGCACTTGGTAAGAAAATATCTGGTAATGAAACAGAAACGCGCCTTATTGAGCCAATTAGTATCAGCATAAAATCTGATAGGGGAGGCCTAGGCCGTGAAACAGCATTACGTGATTTAGCCGAACGTCGGCAACAAAAACGAGAACAACAGCTGCGAAATCGTCTCGTTGGAGGTGAAACCGTAACGGTAGAACAATTTCGTAAGCGCGCACAGGAGAAAGCCGACGAGCGATTTGCAATTGGAGCCTTAAAGTTAGTAAAAGTTTAACCAAAAGTTACAATGCTTCACAATAACGTAAAATTTCAGACACTGTCAGTTATCATGTGAAACACTAGACCTAGAGAACGGCATCAAAGAAGCCGAGCTTAGTTGGTTTTGGCCAGAACGCAATGAAAACGTAAATGAGGAAGATTTGAACGAAGCAGTCTGCGAAACAAACGCAAACGATGTAGTTGAGGATAATGAGGAAGAATTTTCCTCCGCGGAGAAAGTGGAAATGCTTACCAGTTATTTGCGCACATCATACAAATTCTGTTTTTGGTGTGGGGTACGTTACAAAAATCAAGATGATATGAACAGCAATTGTCCGGGAGAATTGCGAGACGAACACTAATTAACTTTTTCAACCATAATCAAATAAGTTAACGGGATAATGTCGACTTAATGTTATTTTATTTACCATATTTTAAGAAATATAGAAAATTACTTTAAGCTAAAATTTCTAAATTCATTTTCTATAAATGTTCAAATTGTTCATCATCATACAAAAATGTGTTCATAAAATGCAATAATTTCGTCAAAATAGCATTCACATTTTTTAAAAAGCAAAAATTAAAAACATACGTTATATTTAGCTAAACACGACCATCAAGCTTATGTATTAAATCTTGGGTTTTTTCAATTACACTATATATAAAGGGTCGTTCCATAGGATCCATACGCAACATATATTTAATTAAATCGTGCATATCATCGGAATAAATGGAACTTTCAGGAATGTTGATGTTACCGCTCAACACCGCCAGCGCAACACTATCACCTTTTTCATAGACCGAATCAAAGGGACAATGAAAGAAGCACATTGCATAAAGAACACAACCAAGGCTCTGTAAGAGGTACAAAATTAATATCTTATTCAGACTTTTAAATAAATGTATTTCTAACCCAAATATCTGTACGTTCATCAATCGTGGAATAGGACTTGACTGAGAACAGTTCTGGTGCACGATACACGATTGAACTGCGCTCCTCTGCTTCGTCTTGCAGTCGTTGCGCTTCATTCTGTCCACAGATTTGCAAACGAGCTTCCGTCATAGAACCCAAGTCTACAATTATCGGTTCAAAAGTGTCAGACAAACATATGTTTGCTGTCTTCAGGTCTCGATGTGCCAACGGCACTGGTTTAGCTTCGTGCACCGCTCTTAAACCATTGCAGATACCCAGAAATACTTGCAAAATTTGCGCCTCTGGCATATGATCGTCTTTGCGTGCACGCATACTTAGATGATCTGCCAGTGAAGCGTTCTTATAGTATGGCAGTACAATGTATAGGTCACTCGTCGTGTTGATTACAATATCCGCAGATCCTTTCAGCTCATAGTCTATTACTTTAATTACATTTTCTGAATCTATACGTCTACAATGTTCAATCTCACGCAAGGCTATATTTTGATCATCTATGCTATGACAAGTTATACGCTTAACCGCATACAGTTTGTGCGTTGTGGCATTCTCTGCTAGATCGATCAAACTGAAACCACTGTAAGAATACCATACATCAATATTAGATAAGAATATTAAACATTTTTTCAACTTACCCTTGAGCCAGTCGATCGCGTATAATATATTTTGTTCCTTTAATGTTTACCGTCTCTTTGGAGCAGAAGAGACAACCTCTTTTCATGATTAAGGCCCATCCTAAGCTATTCATATTGTATTTATGGACTACTTTTGGTGTAAGCGAAGTATAGCAAATAACTCTAAAAATAAATGGAAAATTTTGACTACCTACTGTAAAAATAAATATTAATTTTTTTACAAAAAACAAGAAAAGCACAATTTAAACCAGCTTAGATTGGCGATAATAAATCTCGTTAGAAAAAAATAAACACTGTTTTTCTTTAGGAAAATCATCAGCTGCTGACCAATGGCAGCTGTCATAATATTAACACAGGGTTAACAGTATAAGGAAAATTATAGTTCTGAATTAAAGCCATAGTGGATTACTTCATTACCTAAAACAGCTATTTGCAGTATTAAGGAGTAATTTAGTTCATTCATTTATCTCATTATCTAATCCAAGAATATTTTACACGTCTTACAATTATAATTTTGTTGAACAAAGTGTAAAATTGGTGCGATACAATAAAGAAACTGTTGCAAGCTAGGGGTGTTGATGCCTCAATATTTTTTGCTTTAACCGATTTTGATATAACCGAAATGATATTTTCCACTCAAGTTACCATCTATTTGCGATTAGTTCTTCACATTTAATTGTTTTCGTTCACCCTGTGTACCGAACAGCTGTTTATGTTTGAGCCGTTTTGAACAGTTCTTTAATTTGTATGGTAAAAAAGTTATTTTTCGGCAAATTTATAATGGAAAATTCTAATCCGATGTTGGAAGAATGTTGTGAAGATTTATTTGGCATACGTTTGGATCCCCCAGACAGGCGTGATAAATGTGATAATTGCAAGTAAGTTATATCCCTAATTCAAGACGTATACAATTAAATGGCAAACATTTACAGGCGACCAGCTGTAGTCTGTTGGTGTCAATCATTACCAAATCCACCAATTGACATTAATTCTTCTATAGTTATACTCCAACATCCTGCCGAAGAGAAACGTTCGTTGCGCACAGCCTTAATGTTACAACTTGGTGTAACACCTGGAAAATGTGTGGTATATAAGGGAAAGCGTTTTCCATCTCCGAAAAATCAAACTGAGCTTGAACCAATATTAAACTCGCCAAATTCTTTACTCCTCTATCCCAGTAAAGATTCTGTGCCTATAGAAAATCTATGCTCACAGATAACAGAACCGTCTGAAGATGCACATTTTACATTAGTGCTTATCGATGGTACCTGGCCGCAAGCAAAAGCTATTTACGCCAGTAGTCCCATACTACATCGCATGCGACAAGTAAAACTCATAGCTGCGGGCAATAGTGATTACATTATACGTACACAACCCACCGAAGGCTGCCTCAGTACTCTTGAAACTGCTGCACAAGCTCTATCCATTTTGGAGCAACGTAGTGAGCTGCGACAATTATTAGTACGTCCGCTACATACGTTATGCAAGTACCAGTTAGATAATGGAGCTGTCGAACATCAGTCGAAAGAGTTTCGCATAAAAAATCAACAATATCCCAAACAAATTGGCAAGCGCCTGAATCGTTTGCTCAATTACAGCACAATCTGTAGACCCGAGGCGTCCGAAGAGAATGTGGCAAATAGAATCGATGCAACAATGCAACAGCAGCAACAAAAAACGTGAAAGTGGGCATAACTGATGCGAAATCACTTTAGAAAAATACTATACTTACATGTTACATATGAAGAAATAATGCATTTATTAAATTTGACATTGCTAGTTTATAAATTAATATATTTACCAAGCTATACTAAATTAAACGAAAAAAACATAGAAAATAGCTAATCAAAGTTTTTATTGCATTGCATTGCCATTAATAAATTAACATCTGTAATTTCTAATTAGTTTGAAATCTACTTTAGGCAACAGTATGATTGCAGGTATCTTCAAAACCACGTTTCATCAAACATTTTGCGATGGCATAACTACGTACACAAGCGTTCATTTCTTGTTCTAGAATGGAGTCATTTAAATATATATGTATGTGTATAAAACTAAAACAGTGTTGAATTTTGTATGTTATTAGTAACGTCTTACTTGATTCTAGTTCACAAAACTCAATTGAATCTGCTTTTATCGGCCACATAGTTTGCATTATCAAGTCCCTATTCAATTGCCAGTTTTTAATCAACGATGCTTTTTCAAAGTAGCATCGTATGAAACACTAAATATCGGGTGAAAATTATATTTGTTTCTTTATACATATGTATGTATGTAAAGCTATTTTACCATGCCCGTTTTGTCAACTGTATCTGACAGGGCGCCATTCGTATTGAATTGCACAATATAATCTGGATAGAATATAGAAAATACTTGTAGTTGTAATATGTTTTCTTATGAAAATACATTTTTTTTCGGTAGTGCGCGCTCACCGTTTGGTATGGAAAAACTATTATTGCATATATGCATCACATCCGTGCCCTCACTGCTGAAGCTGCCATTAGATTGGACAATAATTGGTGCAACACATTCCCGCTGCTCCTTGTGTTGCACAAAAATGTCACCATTATCCTTGGCGCGATCCTGTACCGACATCATAATGCTACAATAAAGCAGCATTATCGTAAACGGTAACGTCACAAGTACATTACAATTACTCATTATTCTCTAGAGTTTTTTAATTACTTTCTAAAGCTTTGGACGTGGAAGCACTAACGCGCAACTCCGGAAGCTTATGCGTCTTATGGGTCAGCCAGTGAAGTGTGAACAATTTAAATATAGTATTGTTGTATTGTATGGAAGCGTGTATTCAGTTGATTAAGTCAATTATATTTTATTGTTGTGATAATATTATTGCACTTCACGTGGTAATTGCTTATTTAAAATTACTGCAACAATACAATGCGCAATGATTTAGATTTTTAATGTAATAGTAATCCGGTATGTAAATAAATAATATTAGGCATAGACCTAGTTGTGTCTTAATATATATATTTTTCTATTAAATACACTAGTGCCTACATACTTTTAATTTGTTCATTATGCATTCGAATTCGCATAAGGATAAGAATAGGGTTAGTCAGAATTTACGAAAAAATCGATTTTTTAAAACTTTTTTTAAAGTCAAATATCATAAAAATATTTCTTTAAATTTGAAGTAAATCCGACAAATACTTTTCGAGTTATTCTATAACACTATTCAACAAATCTGAAGGAAACATTTGCGACTGATGTGCTAAGAGGTCTGTGGGGGTATTTGAGGTGTCCTGATTATGAATTTGAATTCAAAAATTTTCCATCACGTACAGCTAATTTTGTCATTTTAGTATATGATGGTAGTTTGACCCCTACATCCCTTAACTACAAAATGACTGTAAACTAGTCTAAAACGGGTTATCGGGTGCTCTGGAACTAGAGTGTAAAACTTCAAATACCCTTTTCTCAAAACTATGTTTTTTCAACTGGTGACCACTGTAGCTCGAAAATCGAGCGGTATCTGGTGGTATGACTTTCTTGTTTGGCAAGCTTCCAAAGTTTCAGTTTTCGACTTTTTGGAAATTAAGCGTAACTACACAAATATAGGATCTTGGGGAGGTAATTAATTTTCGTCGGACTCAGATAATCAGACCAGCTATGAATTTTTGAGAAATCGTGAAATATCTTGTTTTCGCTCTGCTACTGTATATTGATTAGGTCCATTATTTAAACTAAGAATTTTTGAGGTGGTTTCTAAATTTTATCTAGAGTGTTATCGTGCTTTTAGGTTTTATTAAGCATACTGATGACATTATCGCCAGTCTTCATTAATCATCGTACCGCAGTTTATAAGATACAAAATATTCAACATAAACATATATTTATTTATTTATTTATATAATCTGCTACACATACAAGGTGTTTCATACAAGTAAGAACACGCATTCCATTCTACTAAGTCAAGAAAGAAATTGTTCAGATATATTGTTTAAATTATCAAATATTGTAATAATAAATATAAGTTTTTCATATCGGAAATATACAACGAAAATATAGTTGATACAAATACATACAGATAGTTCTTTTAAACATAATGCAATCCTAGTTTAAAATGTTTTGGATTTGATTAATATTATTAATTACTCCTCAGAACAATATAAACAATTTGATTTTAAATATTTGCAATTATATGTTATATTGAGACCTTTTATATAAAATTTGCAGAGAATTTTATTTTTATATTTTTCTCAAAATAAAATATAACTGTTAATTATTCGATGAATTAAATTAAGGTGCAGTTGGTTGGTATTGAAGCGAGGAGTTATACTAACAATAAAGGTTATAAAGTGTATTCTTTAGTGTGTATATACTTAGAAGTGTGCGAGAGTGTATTAAATGTGGTCAGGCAACGATGAAGCGCGGCAGAGAGTTCGTGAGTGATTCACCAAATAGTTTCTAGTTTAGATCGAATATTAAATTACATAAATGGATTGAGTTACCTAATGTGAAGTTAGGAAGTTTGACAGGAAATGTGTTTAAATAATGGTTTTTATACTAATAAATATCTTTTTAATTTTAAAATAATTACTTTAATAATAAAATTTTATTTTGTAGATTTTTCTACTATCTTTTTTAGTTTTTAATGATTTTTTTTTTTGAATTTGCTTTGTATTTTTTCTATCTTTGTCAACAAAATTCTTATTAAAGTAAATGGTTTTCTGATGTTTTCTTTACTAAATTACTCTATGCAGCGTCCATGTTGCGTCTAGCCGTCAAACTTTGGCACCCCATGCACGCTTCACCATGTACGCACCCTTCTCGGCGATCATAACCGCAGGCGCATGCGTGTTTCCAGATGTTACCTGTGGCATTATGGACGTATCCATGACACGCAACCCCCGCACGCCATGTACGCGCAGCTCATGATCCACCACGGCCATCCGATCGTTCGCGGGACCCATTTTACAAGAACCGGCTTGATGATTTTCCGGTCCAGTGTCGCGTCGTACTGCACATTCCCAATACGCATCCGTGCCGAAAGTTAACGTTTCGCAGCCCGTTGCCAGTGTCTTGTCCACGCGCATACCATACTGCTTGAGCGGTGTTGTCTGCGACAGTTTAATTGCGACTTTTATACCTTCAATGAGTGTTTTCACGTCGCGATCATCGGTAAGATAATTGGCGATGATACGCGGCGGTGCTAGCGGATCAGTGGTGGCAAGCGTAATGGAACCACGCGATTTGGGATGCAATACTGCGGGGAAAACCTGTATGGAACGCATGTTGTTGGAAAGCAGTTCGCCCACTTGACCCGTACGCGAACAACTGGCCGCGTAGCCGCTGAAGTACAGTTGTAAATCGGGCACATTCGGTTCATCGGCGTAGCGTGTATGCACTTTGGCGGTGACATCCGATATGCCTGTGCCGGACATAAGACCATCGCGAAAGAGTAAATATTCCATAGCAGTGGCCCAATTTAGCGGTGCCGTGTCTGTGTCATCGATAAAGAAGTTGGTGAAGTAGGCGACGTGATTATGTAAATTTTTGCCAACACCGGGAAGATTGTGTATGGGGCGTACGTTTACCTATGTCAAATGAAAACAAAGTTATGTCAATCAAATGTATGACTCATATTGTACCTTCGTTAACTCATCAGATGGTCCGATACCGCTGAGCAGTAGTATTTGTGGTGAGTTCACGGCTCCACCGCTGACGATCACTTCTTTTTTGGCGAATATCTTACGTGAGCTACCGTACTGATCGATCACTTCTACGCCAACAACTGTTTTACTGTCGGGCTTGAATAGTACCTTCGAGGCAGTAGTGTTCAGCAGAATGTGTAGATTGTTGCGATTACGGGCCGGACGTAGGAATGAACGCGCCGAACTCCAACGTATGCCATTGCGAGCTGTCATCTGGGCAATCATAAAACCGGTGGAGTTGCGACCGTTTAAATCCTGCACCGTGTAGCCTGAAAGGGGATGTATACAGGCTTTAAGTACATGGGAACGTGGGAATATGAGAAGTTTTCATTTCCCGCCAGTTAAAAGTTTACAAATGCCCTTTAAAAGCACCAGTTCTTGGGTGTGGTGATAACTTTTCTATGAATATAATAATTGTAACATACTCACCCATCTCCTCGCCGCCCTTCAATATTGCATACGCCAATGGAGGATTGTAGGGGAAATGTGAAACTGGTAGCGGTCCACCCTTCGCATGTAAGCTCTTATCCACCTCATCCAATTGTAAATTGTCCTCTGATTTCATAAAGAATGGTAGTACGTCCTCATATGACCAACCGGGATTGCCCAATGCAGCCCAATTATCATAGTCCTCGGGGTTGCCACGCATATACATCATCCCGTTCAGTACCGATGTGCCGCCCAAAACTTTGCCACGCGGCCAGCTACAACGCCGTCCTTCTGAGCCTAAACAAGCACTACTTTCCGGCTCGGTAGTATAGCGCCAATCAATATTACTGCCAAGGAAATTCAAGAACATCGAAGGTATTTGCGCACCGACCGGTTCATCTCCGCCTAAAATGCGAGAGAAAAATGAAGACAAGGAGTTATAAATATGTACATTTTCTACATTCGATTTTTTTTTAAACAATGGATTAGAGAAACTGGTATATGAAAGAGTTCCTTTACCAATATGATAAGGCTCAACTGTGCTCTAATGTTAAATAAATTAAATTTGTACCGATTTGTACCGGTCGAGTCTAATTGACAAGGCTACCATACGGTTGATCCACTAACTAATATCAGTGAAACTTTGTAAGCGAACGAAACTTTTGTACGAATAATATTTGTTAAATGACATTTATGGTATTTGCAGATCGCATTTTAGCCATATTTTTACTAGAATTTCTCAAAAAGAGAATCACCAGTTTGGTTTAGGCATTAATTGATGTTTTTGAAATATATATATATTTATGTCTAATTTAAATATGTTAATGGTTTTAAATTATTTTTTTCTCTACCCATCACATCATCCATCATTCTTTAGATAAGAAATGAAAAGCTTCACACTTCCGCATTACTTTAAATGACACTCCTCGTATTTATAGCCTCAATAATTTTAAATTAAATTAAATAGCAATAGTAAATTGTTTTGTTTGCACTGCGGCCTGTAGTTTATCTTGCCCTATCCTGTTGACAGCGTCTAATCTAGTCGCATAACTCTAATAGATTTAATAGGTTTAAGAAGCCGTGGATTTTACTAAAACTTCTAGTGAGTATTACGAACGTCGTGTTTGTAAATTCTCAGCAGTATCTCTACTTTATCGCTTATTGAGATTTATTAATTGTTTGAATTATTTCAGTTTATAGGGTGCAGCGCAGTAGTTTGTGAATCTTTATGGTGTGAATTGCCTTGCCAGAAAAAGCTCCGGCCTATCGGTCCAACTGCTGCTGCTGAACGAGTTAGGACGTCACTTAGTTCTCCAGTTCCGAAAGTTTCTGCCCGACTGTAGTTAGTGAATACCCCGCAATCCCAAGCTACCACTTTCTTAGTTGGCAGTCTAAATAGTCTCATCATCAGCTACAAATCTCCACCTACGCAGTTAACGCTTTAAAACTTTGTTCACAGCATGTCAAAATAAGATATGCCCTATCTCTCGGATTGGATTTTCTCAACTTAAACAACTTATTGTTTCAGCTTGAGTGATGATGCTGAAGAAATTTCAAACTAATTATCACAAAGTTTATTTATTACTTTATTTTAATATATATTTTCTTATCTTATCTAAATTTATATGTTTTTGTTACATTTTTGCATAATTTATGAGTGTGTTAATGTCAGTCTGTTTTCAATTTAATTCCTCTAGTTATTCTTCAATTTCATTTGTTGTCTATTCACTATCCCACGGTTCGAATAATCATCGTAATTAAGTTTAAAGCTTTTTTATTTTTGTGCAGTTAACTGTCTCCACATATTTGTTGCTTTAAAATCGCTTCTATTTACTCAGTTCAGTTTCATTTCAATGTTTTTTTCTGATTGCCTTCATTTTGCTTGCGGTTAAGTTAATGTCAAAGTTGACGTATCGTTGGTGTAATCTTGATCTCAACAAGAAGAATCCAGTTCGCTTTTACTGTTTTTATTTTCATTTTTAACTAATCATTTATTGTTATTTTTTTTTCTTATCTCACGCCCACTAATTCATGCGGCAAAACAGTTCAAAGGTGCTTTGCAACGATTTTCGGTGAATCAATTGCAAGTCGGCACTTTAAAGCCCTCGTATTTACCGCTACTTTTACATCGCGTTTTGCCTTTTTCCATTTTTGGTTAGAGAATATCAAATTATGTGGTTAAATGGCGCAATTTTCACGGGTTAATTGCGCGATGGCGTCAGCGAAGTATCTCTAAGCCCTCTGGTTTTTGCAGGGTAACTCAATGAATTCCCGATGTTAGGCAATTTCAAAGACGAGTAGCTGGTTTAGCATTGCTAAATCCACAAAAACATTATCTTCGGCTTGTTTTGTAATATAAGGTACCCAAAAAGGCAAGGTAATAAATAAACAAATGAAAATCACATAATTACTTTTCACAAGAGTTAGGTAAACAAAGAAAATTTGTAAAAAAAAAGATGACTTTCATAATCATTCATAATCACTCATTTTGGTTCAAATACACATACTACTACTACACACACACACGCAACTAGGTCTTGCAGCTCGTCAATGCTGCTAATGGATTTAATGGGACGTTGCAAGTAATTATTTTGCTTCTCCTTTATTTTACACTTATTTAGGTGCACCAAAGCACCATAGCTATTGCATATACATCCATGCATACATTAGCAATTAATTATATTTGTAATGAGTTACTTGTTGACCAGTTGAAATTTGGTATTAGGCGATTATCGGTGTACGCTCTGATATCGACAGCTTTTTAGTTGCTATAGCTACGGCTGGCTGTCAGTCGCCAGCAATTGGTTGCCAATAATTGACGACAATTTATCGCATGCAAACCTGTATTGGAGGATATTTTGTATTTCGCGCTCGTTAATCTCATTAAAAATATGAATTAATTGATTGCATATGTTGGTTGGTTGAATGCTTACATGCTCTTGTTGAGAAATTTTTGCACTAACCTACCCATTCTGCACTACAAATGCTTTGCCGGCAATTCTGACAGGGTAACCCAGTTTATTAATAGCAATCCTGATCTCAATCATGTTTTTTTAACTATGTCATGATTTTTCTAATATTTGGTTAGTTCTAAGCTGGGAACACTACAAAAGATTTAACATAGCTTAAATTAACTACAAGTATATGCAGCTATTTCCGCTATCCTAGGGTCACTTGTCATCGCTGTGTGGATTTCTAATAATATTTTTGCCTTAGCAATGGAAAAATAAATATTCGTCATTAAAAAAAAGCTCTCTCGCATGACAGGTTCCATTGAATTAATTTTTGAAGCATTTTATCTAGTCTCAATGATGCAATTGATGAACGATAGAACTTTCTCCAGCACGAAATTGATTTAATTTTTTGGCATCGAAATGCAACTTTGTTCTTTCGATATTAGAAATAATTTGAAATAATGTGTCGCCATAGAGAAAATTTATGTAAATCAAATCTCTCCAACAACATGAAAAATTTTGGTTCAATATTTGTGCCAAACTTCAAGGTTCGATACACTAAATATATAGATCGTATATGTATATCGGTCGATATGAAAGCCATTTTAATGACATAGAGTGAGAATGTAATTTGGTACAAAAAAAAAACAAAAAGCGTGGCTCGGTCAGTTGACTTTAAAGTATGTACACGTATTTCGAATTATAAAATTCGTCGAAACTTGTTTGCTACCCTTTTTTAAATCAAAATTCAGCGTGTGTCATACGCTAGTTAATCAATCATTCGCGAAGCAGTCAAATAATTTGAATCAATTTAATCATTATAACTTCCAATTTTTATATTGCTTCCAATTAAAATTTCTCAAGAATTCAAATTAATCAAAACCTTAAAAAGCTGGGCTTTTAATTCTCATCTTCACTTCCCAGATGATGACTTTTGTTTTGGTTTTTGTTAATTATGACTTGCTGCTGCTGTATTATGGATGACCGTATACACACAAACATATCCAATGCCAACTGTATCACACGCATCGCACGCTTCGTTTGCATATTTCCTCTTTACTAATAATAAAGCACAATGCAACAACAATAAGGTCAAGTACAAGAAGTCTTCATTTAGTGCGCGAATATGTACGAAATCTTTCTAAGACTAATTATCATGTGAATTAAATTTTTATTATAATTGTCTTTGTGGTGAATTTAGGCATATTTGTTGTTTTTGCTTAAAGTATATTTCATTTTTTCTTTTATAAATTTTTGATGCAATTATTTTGTTGCGAGTAGATATTATGAGTTGAAAAATTTAAGGTGCATTTACATAACTAAGTCAGCAGCATTAAGTTTTATGCGAGTATAAAGAATTATACAATTCTTATTTTATTATTTATTACTTATTAGGAAAACTTTTTGAAGGGGAAAATTTAATAATAAATATTTTGAATTAAATTAATTTAAATATTTTATAATTAAAGTGATCTTTGAGCGAAAAGTTCTTGTGTGGACTCTTAAACACTTCTAATCAACGCTGATGAGCATTGTATACTATAAACCCGTGATATGGGTTTTCACCTATATGTGCGCGGACATCGGCTCCTATAGAGCAATTTTGTCCCATCTCGATCTGTAATGCCAGGAACATATGAACCAAGTTTCATCAAAATATCTCAATTTTTACTCAGGTTATCGTTTGCACAGACGGACGGACAGACAGACAGTTTGCTACCAATGCGTGTTTGTCCCCAAAGAACAATCTGAGTATTGAAGAGGAACTACAACATTAAACCCTGATCATCATAATGACTTCTGTGAGTTTAGTGGATGAAATCCAGCAGCTAGAATATGTCATTCAAATCGAAATGCGCTAGAAGAACGAATGGAAGAATACTTTTGCTTTGTGTTTAGTAACTTTAATAAAAGTATATGTATGCTTCATGCATAATCAGTGCCGAAGTGTTTGCAATTACTTTTCTTGGGTTAGAAGATGCCATTAAAAGACAAATTTGTGCTTGAGCTACAGAAGTTCACCCTTAAGAGTATGGAGCCAAACCGGTATGTGTATTTAATAACAGAAAATAGCAGCCAGATAAAGCCTTGAAAATGTAAAACAAAAGAAGTGCAAAATAGCGAAATCGGCTGTATCTTACACGCAATAAAAAACTAATGGTTCGAAGAATAAAAAAATCTGCAAACATAATGGCCGGTTCAGTCATAAATTAGCTGAAAAAATCAGCTATTTACGGTTAACTTGTTTTATAGCGACGCTTGTATTATAAAGATTTTTCCATTTGCTTTTGGTTATGTAGGCCCGATTGCAAGCATTTAACCAAAGACTTAAGACACGAACTTGGTGTAGCATAATACCAAACACATTTACGGCTATAAAAATGTGCCCTAACTGTATTTGAATGCCAAACTGCCGATTAATTTTGCAAACCATTAAGAATGTATTCATTC